CAGCTAAGGTCAGACTAAGCCAGCGGTTCTCAACCTTCCTTATGCTGAGACCTTTAGCCCCATTCCTCATGTTGTGGTGACCCCCAGGCATAAAAATATTGCAGCTCCTTAACTGTAATTTTGCTACTGTTATGAATTTCAATGTAAATACCAGATATGCAGGATATCTGGTATGTGACTCCCAAAGGGGTTGTGACCCACAGGTTGAGAATCACTGCACAAAGGCAAGTGGCTAGTCCAAATCCATCTCAAAATATTACCCTCCCTCTCCCAGGCTCTGAATGAAACCCAACATGGCTTTTCCTGATTCTGCTTATTTTGAGCTAAAGCTGTCTGAAAACTAGTCAGAGTTCTTGCCTCTGAAACTACCTGGAAGTTAAGTGTCTCTTCCATAGGAAATCATGCCCACATTTAAAGCAAAACAAACAAACAAAAACATTTTAGGAGAATGCCTGCAATGGTGTCACATGACACCCTAACCCTAGCACTTGGGAGTAGAAATGGGGGGATAAGGAACTCCAGGTCCTCCTCAGCCTCACAGGGGTGTGTGGTAAATGTATGATATGGGTGTGCATACAGGCACATGCACGCCTCAGCACACGTGTTTACGCCAAGGACCACTCTCAGGAGTCAGTTGCTTGCCTTTTACCTTGCTCTGAGGTGGGGCGTCTCTTCTTTCTGCTCTTTCTCCATGTACAAATTCAGACATGGGTGTGGGCATCTCAAAGGAGAGTTACGTTAGCCATGTGTAGTAGCTAGATTTATGTCAACTTGACACAAGCTAGAGCCATTTCTCCAACCCAAAAGTCGGTCATTTATTTTGGGTCAGGTGGGATACACTTGCAATCCCAGCCAATTGGAAGGCCGAAGAAAGACTATGAGTCCCAGGCCAGCCTGGGCTATATAGTGAGACCCTGACTCAAAAAACCAAAGTGGGTCTGAGGTTGTAACTCAATGTAGAGTCCTTGCCAAGCATCTAAGAAGCCGTGAGTTCAATCATCAGACAGACAGACAGACAGACAGACAGACAGACAGACAGACAGACAG